ACAGCTGTACAGGCGGCCTCAGAGAACAGAACCCACAGATGATTCAACCTTTTTCCTATTCAAAACAATTGTATGAACCTTTTACTGCGCGTCTCACACTCACACTTCCCCTCCCCCCTCTTGCTCTTACTCTCGAAATACTTTCTCAAAGACCTCTCTATTCGAGAGAGAAGGCTTGAGACTTTTGTTTCGCCTTGGGTTTCGGTTTCAGCCGCCATTTCCACTCGGAGTCTCCTCTTGCGGTTGGCTGCTTTAAATACCGTTGGGAGCTGTGCCCGTGTGGGTGTCTGGTTACTCCGCTCCTCCTGGCCCAGCGTTAAGCTATAAGGCAAATATTTATTTAATTTTAACATCCCACCCACGGCTATGCCCTGTTTCGGCCCTGTGCACAGATCCAATTTACTCAAGTACAAAGAACCAACGAGAAGAGGAGACGCTGTCGCGTGTATTGTTGAAATTTTATTGTGCAAACATGAGTATGACAGTGTAGAGTGTCTCTCTGTGTGTGTGTGTGTGTGTGTGCGTCTATGTATATGTTTTATGGTTGCACGTTGGTTTTTCTCATTTGTGTGCACAAACAAACGCACAGAGGCAACAGTTACAACAAAAGCACACACACAAAATGACCGAGAAATCCGCACCGTTGTTAAGTGCCTCTCTCCCCCAATCTCTCTCTCTCTCTCTCTCTCTCTCTGTGTGTCTATGTAAACCACAAAAAGAATATACAAATAAAAAGACGATTTGCAATGGCAAACAAATCAGCAAAAATGTGAATTCGGGTGAACAATAAACTACAGCTGTAGGCGTCGCAGGCAAATGGGAATTCAGCAATAAATATTTTTGTTTTACTTTACTTTTACTCCTGCGCCTGAAATTCCACCTGTATTCCATTTAAATCCACGCTCTATTCATGCTTACTCTGCATCAACATTTATTGGTGTAAGGCTTTAAAAATGAAATTATCATTTAGCTCTTTTGTTTGGTTTCAATTTTCTCTCTCTTTTTTTTGTAACAATTTAATGCCCGGAATTGAATTTCAGCAAAACTTCCATGCGATGCGGACTAATTCAATTAAAAGTCGATCTGCTGCATCGTGTAAGTGGCCAAAAACATTGTGTTTAATGCATGTCCTGTCTATCATATTGTTTTTATCAAAATTTCATGTTCATGCACACAGACCCTGAAAATTGCTGAATTGTCGCGTTGTGGGGCATGGCAGCACTTGAAGCTGAAAGCGCTTTAAATAATTTTAATTAAAACAAATGGCACTCGAAATAAAACACGCACATCAAACAGCCAGAGGGGAGGTGCCGGGTGGGACAGTGGTACGTACAGTGGGTGTGGTGGCTGAATGGAACAGACATGGCGTGTAATTACGCCCGACATACAGTGAGCGAGGGCGGCAGGAAGAGGGGAAGGAGGGTATGTCGGCTCGGGTCGGGTCGGGTCGGGTCCTTGTTTGCGCAGGAATCAAGTGGTGATGGTGGTGCTGCTGCTGCTGATGTTGACACTGCACGGCAGCAACATCAGTGGCCGCGGCAGCGACATTCGCACTGCCACCACGCAAACCCTTCACTGTGGCAACCAGCAGAGCAGTGAGCGAAAGAGAGAGAGAGAGAGAGAGAGAGATGGATACCCGCCAGCGTGCTCTTCATTTGTGACAAGTTGGAAATACAGCAAACATGAGCAGCAGCAAACGCACACCAGACAAAACTTGGAAGCAACTTTACTTTTGGTGTTGTTGAGTGTTTCTCTTATATATTTTATTTGTGGAGTATGAAGAGATATAGTTTCATTAAAAAAATCTAGATCTTTGCATTGTTCGTGCCCAAAGCTCCTTCTATAACTACAGGGCATCGCATTGCCGTGTTACTCTTCCTTGAACTCCATGCAGTTGGGTTTTGTTGTAATTGTTTGGTTTTTTTTACTGTCTCGGGGCACTTTCACGCTTGAATCGTGCCTTCAGCCTGCAACATAATCAAAAGAGCCAGACATTAACCATCCCCATCCCCATCCCCATCCGCTTAAACCCCTACTTACTTTTGCGGCAGACAACAGAACCCAATTGTAATTAGACTAGAGAGCTTTCCAGGGTCAAGAGGAGTGAATGGATATTCCCCAAAATTACATTTAATCATTGTTATTTTAGGCTCTCTGTCCCCAAGTGTAACGCTGACCTTTTCCCTGCCGTTCCACCCATTCCAGTTCTCCCTTTCCCACCAAATCCCACGATGACACAGAAGCCAAACCACAAATCCACGTACATATATCCAGGGTGGCAGGCTCGTAAGTACATTTGATAAAAAGCCACTTAGTGTGGCATTCCGGACTTAGCCAAAGCCCAACGAAATCTCCACCAAACAAATCTCCACACTCTCAGCCATAACCCATTTAGGAGCTGCTTCTGTGGGATGGATTGGTGGTTCTGCTGCTGCTGCTGCTGCCAGCGTTCAACACTTTGGACCTGCCACCCTTTTTGACAATATCAAACTTGAGTGGCACACAACTGACAGCAGTGTGGGGGATGTGGGGGGTAGGGACACTGGCAGTGCGGCAAATAAATAACGTTTAAAGCGTAAATATGGTAAACGACGTTAACGGGCGGCGCCCTCAAGTGTCAGTTGGCGGCTGTCAAAGCCACAAGATTCCATGGACACCACCCACATCCCCCACTCTCCCTAAGCTACGTCTTTAGACATTCGTTCTCCTTCTTCACCTCCCCCTTTACCACACTACAGTTTGCCAGAATTGGCAAAAATGAATTTCCAGTATGATTTTGTATTAATTCTGAAACATAATTATTCGAAATTTCGTAGCTCATTTATGAGCTTTACAACAGAATGGCTTGTCCTTTTGTCTTGTCTTCGTAGCTTGTATCCTTATCAGAATTTTCATGGAAAACATTGAAAACAAATATGTCTCAGGATTTAACTCTGAGTGTCTTGTGTCTCTTCTTGGAACTCCATTGACAATGAAATTGATTCTATCCGCTATTCGGTTTCCCATTCGTCAAGCTTCTTACATGGAAAAAGTTTGCTTGAATTGCTTGAATATTTTGTATTTAAGAAAATTAAACGTAATAGCTTCAAATGATTTTGCAACGTTTATTCCCTCAGTGTAGTATGTCCTGCTCCTCCTTTCCTGCCTGGCACCCCACGAAAAATTGACATTGAGATGGCGCATACGCCGCTTGGCCCCAAGATGTTCCACGCGCAATTACGCTGCAGAAATGTCGAGTATTATTAACACGACACTTGTTGAGGGGGGGATGGGCAAGTCGGAACGGGGGGAGAAAGAAGTGCTTGGCCACAAAAAAAAAACCTCCGCTGTCAGCAACAATTGCGGCTCGGTTCGCCAGCTGCCAAAGACATTTTCAATGAATGCGATATTCTCTATCGGACTGCAAGTGGAAGTGCGAGTGGGAATCACGGAGCCATAAAATGATTTCTTGGCATGCAAATTGCATTTCGGCCAGAGCCACAGTCACAGTCACAGTCGCTTTTGGCTGCGCTGTCAGCAACGGATTGCAGATAAGGCCCCCAACCAAATGGATTTTCATGGATTTGCAAGCCAAGTTTCCTTCCATTTGGCGGACAACGAGAAATAGTTTTCATATTTAATTGCAGCGAAGGGGGAGCCGCAGAAGGAACATGTGGCCAAATAGCGACGTCAAAGTGCAGGCCAAGTGCCACAGTAAATTACATCAAAGGAATGATCATTTCCCCCCAACTTGCAATTGAAATTTGTTTGCCAACTCTGACACGAACACGGTCTTAGGGGCCGTTTGCCCTCAAAAGTTAGTCAAAATTAGACGTGGCAAGCAAGTAATGGAGACACCCCGAAAAGGAAATGCTTATTATTTGCATAAATTCCGCACACACAAAGCCCCCGACAAGTGACAGGCCAAACGAGAACGGAGAACGTCCAGGAGCTGAACGAAAGAAATGCAAATTGTGCTGGAAAATTTAAATGTCAGTCAACAATTCAGTTGTTAAACTCGCATTACACACACACACTGAGACAGGCGCTGCTGCTGCTGCTGCTGCTGTGGTCTTACTGTTGCCATGTGGTCCAGGACACGAGCAAAAGTCATTTGCTCGATCTCGGGGCTCTGTTTAGGAGGCTGCGCCTAATCGAAAAGCGTGCGTGACAGACAGTCTGAGTGAGTGTGCGGTTTGGCACTGCGTGTAGGGCTGGGCAGAAAAGAAAATAGGGAAGGGGAAGGGGAAGGGGAAGGAAAAGCTAAAGAAAATAAAACTTTCCCGACACACTGCCGAAGAACTTTTCACTTTTGTTGCGGATTTCTGGGGATACTCTTGGCGGGGCAACAGAAGATTTTGGTTGTGCCATTCGATGTCAATTTAAAGTTTTTCCCTTGGGGTGTGCCAGAATAAAAGTTTTTTGTGTGTGGCCGAAGTTTGTGGCAATTGTGCGAATCCTTTCTGCCGCTGTGCCGCTGCTGTTGCTGCATGCAGCATAATCGATGTGCTCTTGCCGTTTTCATTTTAATAACTTTTTCACGACTCCCGACCGGCACTGCAACAATTACGTGCGGCAAGTGCAGGAGCAGCAAACAACTAACGATCCAACAAACAGGCAACAAACAAGCGGCCGCCATCGACAACAATGGCAACAAAGGAAGGACCTAAAGCTGCATCAGAGAGCTAGAGTGTACGGGAAGCTGGGGAGTTGTGCCTCCACAAATTGCAAACTGGGTTAAACACTTGGCCAGAGTTTCCGCCCGAGTTTCCACCTGAGCTTCTTCCCTTGACATTTCGCCGGGCTGCAACTTTGTTGCTGCTCCGCAACGCATTCAAGTGGTATGTTGCCTTGGCCATAATTGAGGCACGCGCTAAGCGCAGCGCAGCGCAGCGCAGCGAAATGATTTCTGGCCGAGAAACCCCTTTGAATTCATGTTACAACTGGGATCCAATTACTGGGTGGCCACGTAGTCGAGCCATAACACATTCCACGCAATTATTACTGCAACTTCCACTCACCCAGAAGTTAATTTCCGCTTGGGCGCCGCAACTGAAACGAGAGAATGCGAATGGAGAATAGTTTATAATTAATATTAACGCATTTTCGTTTCAATAATAAATGGAGCTAATTTATTTACAACATGCCAACCGCAAGCGCGCCACCCTCCTCCCTGGGGGCTTTAGGGCAGTGTCCTAGGGTGTCGGTGTTTTTTTGGGGGGCAGTGTCAGAGGTGTATTTGGGGCAGGTGGCAAGAGAAAAGTTTCATTTTGTGAAAGCTGTGGCAGTCAATGCGTTTTAATTCAATTGCAAATGATTAAAAATTAATGGCAAATTAAATGTAAGCTCAATGAAATTGTACTTAAAAATGGTAACAGAGAAGATTGGGGGGAAGAGTGGAGGCTGTGATGGCAAGAGAGACAGATTATTGACACATGACATTTATGCGGAGCCAGAGCGAGAGAGAGAGAGAGAGGGCAAGACCAGAGAGAAAAGGTTGATTGGATGGCAAATGTCGAAACTTAAACGAAAGAACGTAGACACGCATCGACACACACACATCCATACGCAGCACACGCACAGCACATACGGCACATGGTTGGATCGTTGTGTGTGTGTGTGCGTGAGTGTGGAAGCGGAAACGGAAGTTGTTACAAAGTCTGTTGAAATCAATTTGAAAAGTAAACTTGTTACGTGGAAAACCCGAAACAAGAGAATGAACCGACACAAAGAGAAAGGCGGAATGGTCAGAGCAAAGAGCAAGGAGCCGGCAAATAAGGAAAACTAATTGCAGCGAGCGCTCACTTTTTTGTTTTGTTTTTGTGCTCTGCTTGTTAATGGGCCTGCAAACGAGCTTCAAGTTTTTGCCTCCTTCTATTGATTGCTACACACACACACACACACACACACACACACACACACACACACTCACACACAGAAGCATGCAAATATGTACAGGCGCTCCATTTTGTGGCACTATGAAAGTTTTTGCCTCATTTCGCTGGCATTGTTTGTGCACTCTCGAAAATCTGCGTGTGGCAGGGGCAGCTGCAATTAAAGTTAGTTGAGAGCCGCTCCATCCCCTCAACCACCCCCTCGTTGTTGTGCTGCACTTTAATTAACCCAACTCCAGGACACCATTCTGCATTCTGCATTCCCCGTTCCCGCTAATGGCAATTTATGGGCGATAATTTATGGTCTAAATACATAAAAACATGTGAGAAACAAAAGAGCGAACAGGAGAATGGAACCGACTCTTTAATGGTAAAAGCTTCAGCTAATTGAGAGAGAGAGAGAGAGAGAGAATCACATGCCTTAAATTGCAAGAAACAGTTTGAAAATTTGTAAATTTCCAATCAAGCTGCGCATTAATCTCTTGCCAAAATGGATGCCAAATATAACTCTATCAAAGGAACATGTAGAACGTCCATTCCACTACCTAAATCACTTTTTGCAGCTTGTGAGGGATGTGCATAAATCAAGAATAGAAAAACAAGTTAAATGCAAATGAATATCCGAATGCAGATGGCAATCCGGCAATCAATGGGAATTTTGAGAACTGAAAACGCAGCTGGCTAATGCTGCTCCATCAAGAGTGTATCAGGAATGCAAAAACAACCAAATAGAATCCATTTGAATTCGAGTTAATTACTAGTGAGTGGCAGCAGTGTAGGATTACCCAGTGGCAATCAGTATTATCAAAGGCATTTAATTGCCATAAATCTGCAAAAGTTGTTAAAAACCCATTTAAAATTGTCACCGTAATGGAACGCTCAACTGCTCGCTCACTGGCATTTACCCAACTATCTGCCACCCGCCATCAGCTCCACTCCACTCTACTCATCCGCAGCCGGATCCTCCAATCCTCCATCCAATCTATGTCTTGGCTGGGATAAGGAGCTTGGCCTGTAACTGGAAGCGTGTTTCCTGCTTCCTGCTTTCTGCTTCCTGCTGCTGTTCTCCTGTTTTTAGCTTTCATTTCAGGCTGCAGTTTGCAGCTTTCGTGCTTGGATGTTAATTAGAAACTCTTGAAAATTATTAAAAACTTTCCGAACTGTCAGACAGACAGCAAAGAAGACAGAGACAGAGACAAACTGAAGGGGGTTTAGTGCTAGAGTAAAAACGCAGCACCAACTCGCTCTATGTGAGATATTTCGTGAGCAAACTTGCTAGATACATTTTTGTATGAAATATCTTTCGCTTTGCGAAGAAATTGTTTGCAGAAAAGCAGAGAAAATGTGCGCAGGAAACCCCAAGCACTCTGGGGCTAAAATTCACTAATTAATGTTGAAATCTTGCCAGCCAAAAGTTGAACCAACTTGCAACTCGCGCTAATGGCGCTAAACTAATAGTTTAAACACTGAACTTAGAGTGCACTCTAGTGGAACCCAATATAAATCTGCGGTTTATCTATCTTTAGCTTACAGCTTTCTAAAAAGCGCAACGTAGCATTCTTCCGCATTTCACAATCTCTATCAATGTTCATCTTGGCAGCCCTTCAATGCGGAATAAAATCTCATTCATCGCGGTCAGTGGATACGAGTAGATGCCGTCTCAAGTGTCTCTGTCTCTGACATCTATGCATCGCTCACTTAGCACCTTTTATTGGTGCCAATTAAGAATAATTTCAAGCTGTTTCTCAGTTGAGATTACAGCCACTGTCTGCCACGAACCAGATAAGCGATCCGCGTCGAATCTGTGGCGTGTGTGGGTTTGAGATTGCTTTGGATTGGGGGTCTGGGAGGTAACCAAGCATTCGAGCATCTAGACTGCGGTTAGTATATCGCACGACCTCAAAGCACACAGTTCAAGTGAAACGCATCTGGAGATGGAATCCGTGGCGAAATCGACACAACCAAAGGAGCAGTGGGACAATGGTCTCGAGTTTCTCTTCTCGTGCATCTCCCTGTCCGTGGGCTTGGGCAACATCTGGCGGTTCCCGTACATTGCCTTTCAGAATGGCGGCGGCACCTTTGTCATACCGTATCTGATTGCCCTGATGGTGATTGGCCGTCCCGTTTATTATCTGGAGATAGCCTTGGGCCAGTTCACTGGCCGTGGAGTGGTCAAGGCCTTCGATATGGCACCCCTGCTCAAGGGCGTGGCCGTGGGACAGGTGCTGGCCACGGGTGCCTCCATTACCTACTACTCGAGCATCATGGCCCTGACCCTGAGGTTCCTGGTGGCATCCTTAAGCTCGGAGCTGCCCTGGAGTCATTGCTGGGTGCAGTGGGGCAGTGATTGCCACGACGGCAGCATCGTCAATGCCACGGGAAAAATGTCCTCAGCACAGCTGTACTTTGAGTGAGTTCTAGAAGACTTCTTTGTCGAACTGGGAGCTAACAATTTTCTTCACTTTCCTCAGACGTGAGATCCTCCACGAGGTGCCCAACATTGACAATGGCCTGGGCATGCCGAACTTGGATTTGGTCGGTTGTCTGTTCGTATCCTGGCTGATCATTGAAGCCGTGTTGTTACGTGGCATCAAGAGCAGTGGCAAGGCTGCCTACTTCCTCGGCGTCTTTCCCTATGTGGTGCTGCTCATCCTACTGCTAAGGGCTGTCACGCTTCCCGGGGCCATCGATGGCATCATTTACTTCTTCAAGCCACAGTGGCGGCAGCTGCTCGATCCGCTGGTGTGGTATGCGGCCGTCACACAGGTTTTCTTCTCGCTGGCCATTTGCTTTGGCACCGTCATCACCTATGCGAGCTACAACAACTTTCATCGGAATGTCTACAAGTGAGTTTTTGTGGATTGCCTGATGTAGGTCCCAATTCTCCCTCTTCCCCAGGGACATTGTTATCATCACCACCATGGACTCCTGCTCCTCGATCATCGCTGGCTGCATTACCTTTGGGATATTGGGGAATCTGGCCAGGGAGACGGGTTTCACGGACATTGGCAGCGTGGTGAAGGGCGGCGCCGGTCTGGCCTTCATATCGTATCCGGAGGCCATTGCCCGCTTTGAGTATGTGCCACAGGTAAGTTATCGCGAGCTGCCTGCCCCTTGGGCGCCCTAAAGCACAACTACCTAAAGATGTTCGCGGTCCTCTTCTTCCTGATGCTCTTTGTCCTAGGCATTGGCAGCACCGTCGGCATGGGCACTTGCATCCTTCGCGTCGTTCGGGATCACTTCGGGGCACGTTCAACACCCACATGGGCCCTGGCCAGCTGTCTGACTATTGTGGGCTTTGGTGTTAGCATCGTTTACATGACGCCGGGCGGCCAATTCATTCTCAATTTGGTGGACTTCTATGGCGTGTCCTTTACAGCATTGATCCTGGCCATTGGTGAATTGGTGGCCGTTGCCTGGATCTATGGTGAGTCCTCCTCCACTCCTGCGAGTCGTTTGAATGGCTTTTGTTGGTTTCGTTCTAAGCACGTATCCTCTTAGGCGTCCATCGCTTCTGTGCGGACATCAAGTTCATGATGGGCATCGAGACGGGTTGGTACTGGCGCCTCTGCTGGTCCTACATCACGCCGGGCCTCATGGCCGCTGTCCTCTTCTACATGCTCCTCGATATGTCGCCCCTCACATACAAGGGCGTGTCCTATCCAGCGTTAACTCACGGTAAGTATGGAATTGCACCATCAGGCCCAGCCCCATTCCCAGCTCCTTCTCACTACTCTCTCATTGGGTTCTTGCCCTCAGTTTTTGGCTGCTGCTTGGCCGCATTGGGACTGCTTCAATTGCCAGGCTGGGCATGCTATGCCTTCTATAGGCAACGCCACAACCCTGGCAGCTTCTGGCAGGTATGTTGCGGTCGAGGGTCCATCTCCCACCCAAACCTTTTAACCCTAATGTGTGTGCTCTGTAGAAGCTACGTGCCACCTGCCAGCCATCGGACACTTGGGGACCGGCCAATGCACAGATGGATGTCAGCAGCTAAAAAATTAGCTTTCCCCACAGCCTCACGCTGCGTATACGTAATGCCGCAGCATTCCCATTCCGGGCTTCCTAGATTATTTGTTATGAAAAATACAGAAAAGTGTGGAATATAAAATTACAAACAAAAGAGTGAGGAGCTTAGCAGTTTTTATTCTGTGAGTAGATTACAAAATTGTTGCTGGATGCGATTGTTGCTGGTGCTGCAAGCACTTTTAATTACCTCAGGGCCTGGCGCCAGTGGGGCTGCAAATGAGGCGTGGCTTTTTTGCACTACACACACATACATATATTTAAATAATAGCTGTGTGTGTGTGTGTGTGCTGTGAGCTGGTGTTTGTCTTTTTGGAATGCCAGACATGTCAGCAATGCGGAACTGCGCAAATATTAAACGGAAACAACGGGAACAAAGTTTAAGCAAGGGGATCGAAGCTGCCAATACCCTGCTAAGTGGAAACCCTCTGCTATTACATCCCGCTATGCACGTCGTAAATACCCACCAGGGCCAAAGGGTATAGCCAGCTGCAGTTTAGACTGTTAAAAGCTGAAAATCTAGATGAAATGTGGAAATGGTGATGGAGAAGCCGAAGAGCGTGCTCAAATAAACCATTGCCTGTGAACTGTTGTTCGACATATTCATTTGTCGGTGTCCCCGAAAGGGTAGCGGGCAGGAGAGGGATTGGCGAACGGACTGCATGTCACATTAAGGAGAGGAGAGACAGCGGGCGAGGACAGCAGCAACTCGGTTGAGTGGCAACGGGGTGGCAAATCAAAATGGCTGGCATGTGACAAAGTTGAGAAGTAAATATGCAGTAGGATAGAATTTATAAAAAAAAAAAACAGAAAGCAGATAGACAGACAGTGTGCCACAATGTTGCCTTCCTGCCTCTCTTCTCTTTCTGTTGTCTGTTGCACTCCTCCCCCCCTCCGTATGACAGCGCAATTATTTACATGTACAGGAATTTATCTCCATCCATGTGGGAGTGTGTGTTCGTGTGTGTTCGTGTGTGTCTGGGTTTGCGTGTGAGAGTTGTCAAAGAGAAAAAAGTGACAGTGTTAAATTTTGGTTCATCCCCTAACCATCTAGGACCCACTCCCACCCCGAACAGAAATTGAAGTGTATGTTGACTTTGACTGACGTGTCGTTAGCGCTGAAGAGGTTCGCGGGGCAACACTTTGCGTGTGTGAGGCACAGCCACACACTCACACACTGCACGTCAGAGAGACAAACAACTTTCTTTCACGTTCTAACGTTGTTCGTTGTTCGTTGTTCGTTGCTTTAACGATGCGCGTAAATCTTGACATACTTTCACCGCTAGACGAGCAGCAGCTGCAAAGGCAGGTGGCAGGCGGTGGCACTCACACATGCCACCAAGACCATTATTAGCCATGCCTTACCATACGCTCTAGCCTGCTAAGTGGACTACTCCTTTGGTGCAGCTGCAACATCACTCACACACTTAAGTATCTGGCCACAGACTGGCCAGGCGCATGCAAATGTTCCCCTCAAGTGGGATCCAGATAATCCTCAGCAGCCGCATCATCATCATCATCAAATCCAAACTTCACTGAGACACCAGAGGAGCACTCGGCCCCATGGCTAGAAGATATTTCTTCAACTTTCCAACACACACACACACACAGTGCACAGAGATACACTCTGCTAGATAGCAGATACTTTTACCCACACACATGCAGACATTCACTTGTGTGACGGAAGCAGCTGCCAGCCAGTGTAGTTCCCAGTTCTGCCCCATGCACCAGGCACACTCTTCACGCAGCCTTCAAGTGCATTTCACTGGATCTGGCTTTCCATCCCGTGTCGGATGCTGCTCGTATAAGCTCTTCCTTATTATAAATATCAGCTGAAATAGAGTATAATGCTCTTCCTGCTTGCATGTCGCACCTGTCAGCGGCAGGCCCTTGCATTTTTTTTATAGTAACGTAAAAGTTGTTTCCACAGCAAAGCACAGCACAGCAACGGCCATGTCAGCGATGAAATAAATGTTCACGTTATAAAAAACATCCCAGAGAATCGATGACGTAATACGTTTATCCCTTGTACACTCACTTTTTCCCTGCTCCTTCGAGGGCGCTGACGTATACTTAATGCGCCGTAATGTTGCCACAACTGGTGCACTTTCCCATGCCCCGTGCCTGTGCCCGTTGTCACTTGACTGAGATTCAATTGTGTTTAGGCTGAGAAAAAACTAATACGCAGCCATATCATAATGTATCGTCGTTACTCCACATTAGGATCCGAATTGTGTGCCCTCGATGGATATGCCTTCAGCAACTCATTGAAGTTGATTGTTTTTGGGTTATTTGTGGGGATTGCAGCGGCAATTACCTAATGAATCGATTGACTAGCCTTCTCCTACAACATCTGAATGTTGTACCCCAACGCAGTCTAGACAGCATAAATTTAATTATTTATATCGGGATTGTTGTGGAAAGACGGAGAGGTGGGTGGTAAATTACTGATTCGTCTTGAGGCATTGTCTTGGGTAATTTATGTCATTTACGAGCTTTTGCCGCTTATCAAAGTCACAATAAATTAAAACTGAAATGATCTTTCCACCCACTACTGCCCTGCTCTTTCCATTCTGCCTCTACCCGCACCTCCAGCCACTCCTCCATCCATTCCCCCCTGTCAGGCAAAGCCAATTACGCTTATTACATAATTCAGCAGCAGCAGCAGCAACGGCGGCGTCAGAACCAGCGGGGCATCCATGGAGCCATCCATGAGGCAAAGCAGCTGCCCACGCATCCAACAGATGAGAAAAATGTACAAGATATGGTAAAGGTAGCAAGAGAGAGAGAGAGAGAGAGAGAGGCAGATCAGGAAAGGCGAGGAACGAGGGAGAGGGAGAGCGATAACTTGCCAGCAAAACCACGTGGAGAAGGCAAAGGTGGTGTGGTTAAGGAGAGAGAGAGAGAGGAGGGAAAAGAGATGGGAGAGCTCCCATCATAAAGGAAAGTCAAGTCAAACAATTAAGAGGAGCCCGTCGATGGACTAAAAGCCTTAACAGCCCTGTCCCGCACCCCCACCCTTAGCCACTGGCCGCTCCCAGACACTGTCCATAGACCTCTTCCCACTCTCTCTCAATTCTGGGCACAAAAATGTGTCTGTTGTCCCGAAATTCAGGTTTCATTAGAAGAAGGCAATGTGTGTGGGTGTGCAGAGCAGCTCGGACGGAAGGAAGATAGGAGAGGAGCCTGCTATCCAGCTGACAACATAATGCGAATGTCGAAACAATATTTTCCATGTCTGCTAATGTGTTGGATCCGGGATACACGGATACGTGCACATACATACATACATACAGAACGAGAGAGCAGGAGACAGGGAGAGACTGTGGCGAGACAGTGGAATCCTATTAAGAAGTTTTCTATCGCAAATTAAAATCTAAATACGCAAACAAAATGATGGCGACGTCTGCGCCACGGGTTGGCCACGGTGTAACGGCAGCCAAAAAGAAAGCACAACTACACTGACAGAAAATGCAATGACAAATATGCCAGCATGTGTGCTAAAATGCTAACTAATTGCAGGGAATAAAAAAGGGTGGAAAACCCGTGGATAAATTATTTTCAATTATAATTTGTTTGTTACGACATTTAGCCCCTTGTAGCCAAAGCAAGAACTAGCATTTCTCGCCGTGCATACAGCAAAGACACCAAGAAAATAAGTATTAGCCAGCGTAACGGTATTCACGAAAGCCCAGACAACATCCTTGCCTGCTTTCTCCTTCCTCTAATCCCGAGCCACGCCTCGTATTTTCCTTTTTATTTGTGTGCTGTCTGCTTACAGTTTGAATTATAAGCTAGCGAAAATTTAATAAATGCTGCTCCCCCGTGTCCCGCACCATGTCCACCGCCCACTGTCTGCCACACACCCACCGCAACAAAAAAGGAAAAGCAAAAGAAAAAGACAGACTATGACAATGTCAAAGAGTTTGGTGCACGCAACGGGGGCGTGGCCACCGACCACCTGCGACACCAACAACAACTACAACAATTGTTCGGGAAAAAGTTCTGGCCTGGCAAATGGCAAAACTTTTCCCCAGCGTTGCCTCCACCCCCGGCCGGCCAATCTCTGGCTCGCCCTCCTGTTATTCTGTTTTGTCCTTGCAACAACTTTAAGCCTTTATTAAATTGTGTGTCCAAAGTCAACAGCGTCAACAGAGGCAACACAATGGCGGAAACAGACACAAAAACAGAAACAGGCGGCAGAAAGAATGCCAGTGCCAGAGCCAGAGACAGAAGTGACAGGCAACCAGAATTGACAGCAAAACAAACGATTGTCATTGTCAAGTGTGTGCGTCAACCTTTGAACCCGTCCCAGGGCCTACTATTTCTGTGTCGAAGAGACCCCACCTCCTAGACCCCGCCACACCGCTCCCCAACCCTGTTGAAAATAGATGTCAAGCAGTTTTCCCTACAGGCAGTCTCAACCCGTGGACCCCTCTTTAGTCGGTTGGTTTAAATTGAATTGTTAATTCGGTACAAAAACCTTTTCCGCCTTTACCTCTCTCCCACTCTCTCTCTCTCTCGCTCTCTCTATCTCTCTGTGTCCCTTTATTCGATTCACTCTGTGTGTGTGTGTGTGTGTGTGTGTGTCTCTGCCGCCCTTCTCTCTATCTCTGTGTTTCCCTTTCTTTGATTCCCATCAATGCGATTTCCGTTGAGGGGCCCAACCCTCCTCTCTGTTCAAGGGGGTCCAAATATATATTTATGTTAAACCCTTTTTGTGGCAGCTTTTGTTTTTTGCCTTTGTTGCGTTATGCAAACATTCGACTGCCTGTGACAATGCCACAGGAAGCATCCACCATCCCCACAGCCTACCGTTTCCCCTTTCCCCCTCCAGTATAGTCCATTGTCGATGAGAGATACACCATACACCTGCACTAGATGTTGGCTAAAGTGCCTGTCCTGTGTGGTCGTGGCAGTCAATGCCATTATCTTCTTGTTCTCCCGATATTTGCATATTCCGTACGGCCAAAGTCCAGCTCCCGTTCCCGTTCACGTTCCACATCCGAGTCCTGCAACAGTTTTACCTCCAACAGTCCGCATTGTTTACGTTCCGCTGCTCGATTCAGCAGACTATCTCCAACCGTGCCCTTCCTCCCACCTTGTCTTCGCTCAATTGTTGCCGGAGCATAAATCAAGCGCAAGGCACAAATATTTTTCAAGTGACAACAAATATATAATGACGCGGAGCACCTGAATGGATGATGGTGCCTGAAACTGTGGCTCTTTGTTGACTTTAGCCGCGGACACATTGCCACCGCAGCCCCATCGCTTCCTGGTTAAGATTCTACGACTGCTGCAGTCAGGATACTCTAACTGGTAACCGGGCCTTATCGCTAATAAGAGCTAATGAAGGATGGACTGTGAAGGAATCAATTCAAAATTCTAGGAGCTTTCATTGGTTCTGTTGGGCTCAACTTTATAGCTAGATTTCTAGTGTTTCTTTATGTGTGTTCTCGTGTCTTCTTCTGATAAATTTCTGGCATAGAGCATCTGAATTTTGGTTTCCCGCGTTAGATTTCCGGCCAGTGTGTAGTGCTCCACTTTCCGACATTGCGACGCTGCGGCTTGCGCTTTGCTGATTTCGTTTTGATTACGGCAAATTGTTTTTAGTTGCCTCCGCCTTGTGGGTCCTCCATTCTGCTCTGCTCCTGTCCGTTTCGTTGCCTTTCGTTTTGTTTCCTTTCCTTTCCTTTCCTTTCCGTTTTGTGATTTGTTTTGTGGCCAAGTTTATATTGCGGCATTTGTGCAGTTTCCGCGACTCCGTTGATTTGCATTTATAGCTGCGGTAATCACGGGTCAAGTCCCAAATTAGATTTACCCAAACTCCAACTTGCAGTATCCGCTCCAGCCCCCAAGGCCTGACCTTAACTCAAATGTACACAAGCATTGATAAATAAGTTCGAGGCAAAATGGGAATTGCGTGCGGGCGGGACCACTGGACCGCATTAAATATTGACGAATGTCTTTCTATTTGTTGTGTCATTTCGGTAACTTAATGCAATATGAATGGCCACCAAATATTCATTACGCAGGAGGGTTCATCCATCAAGGGCGGCTAGCGCGGGCAGTATCATTAGCCAGAGCCGAAGGAGAGCAAACTTTGTAACCAATTTAGTTTGGATTTCGACCCCCGTTAATGCATTTTTCCGGCATTCCTTCGTTATTGGTTTTATTTTTGGTTTGCGCTCTTTTCCAGCCAAAGGCGTTAATTAACAAGTTTTTCGATGCACAACTTTTTAATGAAATTAATGTCCCCGCGGGGCATGGGAAGTGTGGAGTGCAACTTCAACTTCAACTCCAGACCGCAGACATATACATTTACCACTGAGACGCTTCTAATGAGCACAGTGCCGCGTACAAGTGGGACGGGGAATAGAACTCTTCCAATTTGGTAGTTCTGGCAGAGCCACCACCAGCCCATTAGTATCTGGGCGTGGCCCTAACGGCGATCAACTCTGGATAACGTTAATAATGCGTAACGGCTCTGCATTTATGTCATGTTATGTTTGTTCCAAGGCCAAGCCACCGGCCACGGACAGGCTAACACGCACACGCACACATGCCACGCCACTCCCGAAAGCGCCAATCCGTCCGCCTCCCCAACACACACATGAATCGAGTTTGGCCGCGTTTCGATTAAACAAACCTCCTCAAATATGCAATGACATTGAGGCAAAGGCAAGAGAAAGGTTGCTGCTGCTGGTGTGTTTGGGTTAGGGGGGAGCTGTCAGAAAGGGGGGTGCATGCACAATGAATTACTGCAGTCAGCAGGATATTCGTTACCCCTTGTGCAGCATGTCTCTCTGAAAGGATATTAGCCAGTAGAACATACCACTCCCCGATTGCATTCGGGCTCAAGGCAAAACCAAAGCAATATCAGGAACACAGACAAGTACAGTCACCATAAAACAGATTTACAATTCTACAGATTAAAGCGGCAGAACCTTCAAAAGAACAGCCAGAAAGTGAGAGCTGGCTTGAAGAAAAGTATAAGTAAATATGTGCTGCCCTCAATGGCATTCTGTTCAACTCAATCGATTGATGAATGATTCGTGCCATTGAAGGTACAGTCGGAACAAGATAGCTTCGAACTGCTGATGCATCTAGTTGCACAGCCTTGCCGCCTCAATGCAGCACTACGACTACTTAATTAGGCGCCAGAGAATGAAGGAAGGCGAGCTAAAAGATTGCATAAGCCTGGCTGAGCTGAAAATATACATAAGGAAACGGAGTTTCGGCTGTTGACAGATTTTGTGTCACTGTTGAGAATGTCAACGAGACGCATGCAACATGCCCGGCACCAAACTGACGCTCAAGGATATGCAAACATGCATCCACCACACACACACACACACACACAACTCTCACACACACCCGTGTGCGTGTGTATCTGCACACGTATGCAGTTGCTTGCGTAACGTAAAAATAGCCTTGAACTGCAGCCGTGCGCTTTCAATGGATTTGCATGCCACCCAAACACCCACCCTGGCCATCGTGGTGGTACTCGCTCACTCGCTAGCTCGCTCGCTTGCTCGCTCCCAAACGTCGCTCAAGGTCACGCGATGCCTACAACCACAAAAGGATACGACAGTTGCGAGGTTGTCTCTCCCGCACTGCCATTACGTAAAGCTCCTCTCGTGGCAAATTTCATCCCAGATCCTTCTAATTGCCACTTGAGCTGCAGCAACTGTGAGAGTGCCACCGCTCCGAAACTATGTACCACAATTGCATTAGTGGACAGAAAATCTCATCGAAAGTTGGGTCCTCTTCATGCAACATGCAAACAATGTAATATTGAGAGAGAGAGAGAGAGAGAGAGAGTGGGAGAGGAAACAAGAGAAACAAAAGGAAAATGAAACGCGAACAACGAAATTCGAGTTGAAATCGAGTCGAAAACGGTCAGCGGAAGGCGGCTAGAGGGTCGCTCTTGGCGTTGGGACAGCGGTGGACGGGCTAGCGGAATTCGTGGGAAATCTGGTAATTGCTGTAAATATCATTAATTCCCATTTTCCATGATTTGGAAGTTGGGGAAATCTGAATGAGAGACCCTAATGAATATTTATATTTATTTATTTGCTTTCGCAATGGCTTTGAGCTGCTGCTAGGGCTGTGGCAGCCCTCGCTAGTCGTCAAAACGTGCAACTGGCGCTGGCACTGGCGCTGGCCATTTAATGTCCCTTCCGCTGACTCCTGCTCTCATCCCACTCTCTTGGCTGGCTCTCCATTCTGGCTTATTCCTGGCATATCCTTGCCATTTGGTTATGCTGGCAGCTCTTTCATTTTGCTCTTTTCTCTGCCATCGCCTGCGTCTCCTTCTCCGCATTCTTCAACATCGTCATCGTGTGCAAGTTGGCCATAAAAATGGAGTAACATTTATGACCCACATCAGGCGGCACACACACACACACACACACACACACACACACACAAAAGAGAGAGGGGATGAGGGTGAAGACGGAGACCTCTGTGTGGATGAGCATTAGGGAGCCCAGGGGCATGGCCAAGGGTTGGTGGGGTGTCTAGGGGGGCGCCTGCAAGCGCAACATTCACAGGGATATTTCTTTTTACTGCTATTCCATTTGGCAATCCTCGCTCTCGCCTCATCACTCTTTCCCCTTCTGCTCTGCTGTCCTTTTTTACTGCTCCTTTCGGCATTTCGACATTTACTTCTCGACTCGCAACGCGTATCCTTGAGCAGGTTGATTCCACCTCTTCTTCGGTTATTCTCGAACCATTTCGCTGCGCTTTCCACCCACTCTCCCTACACTACATACAGCTCACGAACCCTTTCATTTCAAACAACAAAAAAACGTTTTCAAGGTTAAATATGCGTATCAGATTTTTCGCCATTGCCTTTGCAAGGATTTCCGGTACACTTACCCTTTGTTCTGTCTGCCTTTGAGCCTTTGAGTGTGCCGCCTACTGCTGTTGCACACATGTCCATCAGCACATGTCGTTGTCTCCTCAAGATGCAGCTGGTGTTGCACCTCCTCCTCCTCCTCATGCACCACCTGAAACCCCTTTGAATGGGCTACCGCTGCCTCGCACACTGACCCACTTTGCTTTGTTTTGCGTGTTTATCTTAGCTCAGGTGGCCGTTGCTGCTCCTGCTGCTGATGCTGGGGCTGTATCGTTGGCGGCTGCAGTTGCCGCCTGTTTTTGTTGCATGTCTTCCCTTGCCCTGCCTTGCGCTGTTGTTGTTTGTGTTTTTAGTATGACCGACTTTTGGAAACAGCCAAAGAAGCACGCACACACAGTCTCACTTACTCACTCACTCGCACAGAGGGCTTGGCAGAGTGACCAGGCCATCAGGCATCAGCAGCAGCAGTGGAATTCACTGAAAGAATTTAGTTCTCTCAGCTGGAAAGTAGGCAATGCAAAATTTACGAGGATTTCTGTTGCTCCTTCTTTCCTTCACTTTTGGCTTGCCAATTCCGTTACTTTCACTTTGTTAGGCTTTTGTCCGTGTGCGTCGGTGTGTGGATGTGTTTGTATTGGAGACACACGTGTGCGTTTGGTGTGCGTGTGTATCTGTGCGTCGTCGTCAGTTTACGTTTAGCGGCATTGATTTTTCCTCTAAAGAAAACTCCACTTTAATTTCGACTCAAATTTGATTCGATTTGATTTTTATATTCGTATTACTTTCGCCCGATTGCCTATGCACCGTTTCACGTGGATTTTGAAGCACTTTTCGATTCGTTTTGCTTTAGTTCGAGTTTTGCGCGCGCGTGCTCCAACATTTTTGCCCGCTCGATTTGTGTACAGGTGTGTATGTGCGCGTATATGTTTGTTTGTGTGTTTCTGTAGCAGTGTAATATATAAGAGAACAGCTCGGCACCGCAGAATCCCCGGCAGGCGCAACGTACGTCCGCTCGCCACGAAACTTCACACAATTCTGAAGGCAGAAAAGAGCCGCCACACGGCTACTCTTGGTAGTTGCTCTCGAATGCTCGACGCTCTCTGATGCAAGCTCAAACTGTGTGCTCACTGCTCTCGCACGTCCTTACTCTCCTCTCGCTTCTCAAACAACAAGCGGCGCCAGAATGTCTACGCATAAATAATACGCACGCTAAAGCCACGGAACCAAGGAAGAGTGGTGGCAAGGAAGAGCAACTGAAGCTCTCATCTCAATGCAAAGTAAGCTTCAGCAGGTAGGTGTTGGGTGAAAGAGACACCGGACAAATGATTGGCCACAGCGACCATAGCAAGTACCTTGCTTAAAGACTTGAAGCTCTTGTTGATTTACAGAGCAGAGAAAGAAACCGGACAGAGTTGGTAAATAATTATTAAATTAATTTTATTATGCTTGCTTAAGCTTTTAATCTTTCTCTAATTCTGTAACTTTCAGTCGGATATGCCCTGCATCTCCTGCACATGCATACGTCATCATAACGGTAAACAAAACTTGCATGTAAGAAATTCCCATAGAGCCCATAGAGCTTTGGCGCGTTGTTGTTGCTGCTAGAACATGCGCAGTGTTTCATTTTGACTCTCTCTCTCTCTCTCTCTCTCTAGCACGCACTCTCTCTTTAGTTACTGCGCAGCTTCGCTGATTGCTCTTACCTTTCCTCTCCGCTGTCGAGGCTGGCTACTCTTGCATTCGGAGCACGTGAATTTTTGTGTTTACTTTTTAATTTTCTTCTAGTTCTCAGTCTCTGCCGTCATCGCAGCTGCTGTTGCTGTTTCCTCTGCTGCTGCTGCTGCTGCTCTTCGCCTGCCACTCGCCTCCCCCGTTATGCCCTTTGTTGTTCTTTATCGCATGTGGGCTTTTGTTTTCCTTTTCGGTTTCTTCGACTGTTTTGTTTTGTTTCATTCATACCATACTGCTGCGGGGTTAGTGGTGGGGGCAAACTATGCAAACTACTTCCCTTTTGCGATCGACACTGGGATTGCAGTATGTGTGCTTCTGGGCTAGCATCCACATTCATATGTATAAATGCGTGTGTTTGGTTGTGTGCTTGTGTGTCAGAAAGAGATTTGTATGGAAATTGGCGCAAAATATGCCCCAAAACCCAGTTCAAGTCCCCAGTCGGTTATAGTGTGCTGCGGTGCCTTTTATGCTGCATTCAAATTCACAGAGAACCTTCATACCATACGCCATACATATGCCAGCGGAGCAAACCAAGCGCATTCCCGCGTCCACTTTTGTCAGCATTCCTTACTGAAACGAATCACCAAACGGTAGATCAAACTCTCCCGAAGTGAATCGGGATGACGGAACAGCTGAAATTTCAAAATTTTTTTGGTAACTGTTAAATCATGCATGCGGATTGTCGTGTGGCCTCGAGAATGCCATAAGCATGGCTGCAGCCATCATTTCGATTTCGTGCATATTTGTTGCTTAGTTTCGTATTGCTGGCATGTCCAAAAATGAGAAGAAACTCCAGCGGAAGCGATGCAAATGATGTCCGACTGGTATGGCCATTGATATTCAGCATTTCTCTGTGCTCCATACCGTTACGTTCTGGTCACTCCCTTTAACAGTTCCCTTTTGGCCTGTTCAAAATCAACAGCAGACACAGCAGCAACAACAATAGCAATTTTTATTTTGCACAAACGGAATGCAGAGTCAACAAGATGCGAGGGAAACACAGAAATACAGAAGCGGTAGTTCTCAATGCACCGATGTCTCCTCTGCCAGTAGACCAAAACTAGGAGCATTTCCATGAGTAATTGCCCCCGTGCATGCTCTGCTGTCTGTGATCCAGCCCACTCTTCCTGCCCATTCCCAAAAGCACTATCCACCTACACCACTATCATCATCAGCTGTGTTTGTTGTCAGATTCGGTTGGGATTTTCATTTAGCCAGAAAACCCCCAAAACTCAACCCCAACCCAGAGACAGACAGCACCGCGCAGGTAAGCTGTTGATTTCATGTGCCGTGGATGTGCACGCAGCTCCTCTGGTTTCTGCTGTCCATGTTAGCACATCTGTTAGCTGTTTAGGTATGCAAATGTGTGCATAAGCGGCAGACTTTGAAGCTGGACACCACAGAAGCTCAATCCACTTACACACAAAATGAGAGAGAGTAACTTTTTGCAGCAGTGTCAAAGAAAGTTCAATTTCTATGGCAGCGTAAGAGGATTAAAATTGTAAATCAGGTCGAGTCCCCAGATGGCCATAAACTGCAACACTGAATAAGAAAAAAATGTGTTAAAAAGAGAGTGGCACGCAATAGAAGATACGTAGGACCTGTCATTTGCAAAAGGGAGAAAATATACTATAAATATGTGACGCACTTTGAGTCATCAATTTCAGTTGCCTGTTTAGTTTATTTCTGTCAACAGTCCAGGCTACTGGCTGGCTGACAGATTCCCATACGCGTATCGAACCGAAAAAATCGCCTAATCACCGATGGCTGTTCTAAATTTAGCCACAAATATGCTGATTATTGGACCATAAGCTCTTCCGTTTTCATTTCCAGCTGGGATTTTCGTTGTCAGTTTTTATTTGTCTGCGGTTTCGATTGATGGCTAAACCGCAGATTGTACATAATAAACTCATTTAAGTACAGTTTTGGGGGGTAACTCTAATTGCAATATGCGTACGGCAAATTTATTATCTGATTATTTACTAATCTGCGAACTAAACCCCAAAGTGAGGTCGAATACAATCGAAATTGGCTGAAATAATCGAATTTATGTCTAGAAACTCGAACAACATTTTTGGCACATGAAAAAAAAAACTCAATTTGAGAGAATATTATTAAAACTAGTAGCGAATAGCTGGCATTTCACCAAATCGAATCAAAATATTCTAAAATGTTGCCCTAATTTCTCCAAAGAATACTCAAAGCGCACAGCACGTAATCGGGATACTTTTAGCTCTGCCTCCATGAATGGGGGAACCATCCACTCACATTTCACTTCGTGCTTTCTCTCGGGACGAAATTAATGTCAATTTTTATGCTTGATTTACGGCCACGCATTTGTTCTTGAGAGATCCGCTCTTGGTCTGGCTTCATTTGAATTCAATTGCTGGCCAAAATGCCAGAGCAGAGCAGAGCGGAGCGCTGATTTTGTCGTTGGAAGTGTCGGTCGGGGCAGGTCGAGAGTGGCACGTGACCCGGTAATCTCAAAGGAGCAGCAGCCCAAAGATACAGCTGCCAAAGGGCAATAAAAAATTGACAACGCCAACGCCAACAGACAGCAAAGAAATGGATGGAGCTTGGTGGATGGGAACAGGCTATGGCAGCCTCTTTTTACATTTTACAGAAGAGATGCACGAGGGTGGGGGTGGGGCTATAAAAGTCACTCTGAGTTGTTGCTGTCCATCAGTTGACACGGCCAAAGGATGTGGCATACACCAAGTGCACTGCCACTGGCTTCTTTGAGCTGCATTTGCATCGTTACCCGCCAATCCGCACGCTCTCCTCAGCTCCGCTCCGCTCCGTAAAAACACCTGCGGCCAGCACTTTGGCGTCATTAAAGCACCCCCTGGCGGCTGGAAGCCACAACAAACACCGGCAGCACGGCTCGTGGAATGACAGGGAGTGGGTGGAGAGAGGTAGCAGCAGGAGCAGTAGGAGGAAAGCGTCAGGAATTTGGGCTGAAAGGCCGGAAGCTTTTTGCGTGCAGATTTATGGCATGCCTCAAACCAATGTTCAGCGGGGAATAGTAGGAGTATATAAAGAGCTATGCCATATACAGACATGCATATCCGAGAGTACTCCTCGCTTTATTTTCTGCATGTTTTTTATATTTGCAAATACGCTTAAATTGCATTTTGCTTTGCCATGTAATAAAACTGTCGGCATTTGACAATATTATCACTGAATTTAAAGAACTCCAAAAAATGTGAACCAGTTTTAAATCCGCTTAAAAAACGAGCTAGGGGCAAATTATTATTCGGGAAAACTCTGCAGTAAAAAGTGTCCATCTGATTGAACAGAATTAATCTATATGCAAATACAATTTCAAGAAAAAGCTATATATTTGACAGTTTTAAGGGTAAGTGAGTTGGATCTGGGACAGACGCACAATTAAAGTGAATAAATAGTTATTAAATTCCAGGAACTAAGACAGCCATAGTTGGAATAGATTCTGGCAGCGTTGCAAATGATTACTTATAGTATTTCCTAAATAAACATATTGAAATGATTGAACTGAATGCTCGGTTACCTAAACCGAAAATTCAGATGTGGGTTGTATTTAAAACTGTTTATTTGGTTGCTATGTACATTTGTTGTTTCTATTAGCAACTTTAAAGGTCCATAATATCATTGTATGTATTCATGTAGCTAACTCTACTTATGGAATGGTTAGGAATCCGATAAGGAAGGGCATATGAGCAGTAATCTTTAGACTATTTGTAATGGCCGCTGCTTATCCCAATTTTGTAAAAAGGAAAAGTTTGTTTCTAGTGCCGTTCAAGCACCGAGTCACATCGTGCATATGCCACTTTAGTTGCTGTTCTCCTTTTGAGAGTCCTGCCGCCCTGCCGAAACACTGCCGCCCGCTTTGACCCAACTTGGCTTAAAGTTATGTATGTGTGTTATGGGCTCTCCACTTGTTTGCCTTTCATTTGCCGTCCACTCACGCAGCCTCACTTGACGGCCACTTGGCAGTAATCGCTGACAGCCAAAAGCAACTCCACTCCAACGCTCCATGGCGGCAGACTCTTAGCCATCCAATGCCGTGCACATAATCCGTTTAAAATGAGAGCTGGCCTGGCTGTGCTCTAGTTTACGGTGCTCCTGTCTTCCGAGTGCACTGAAATTAATTTAACGACTTGGCGCACTTCAAAACTGCACAAACACAAGGAGTGAACAGAGTGCTGGGGGCGGGGTGCGCTGTTCCTGTTGCGCGCGCAGTGCACGGGAAGGGGAAAGGTAGATGGACGACGAGGACAATGCTACCTTGACCTTGACACGTTTGACGTTTCACGCCTGTACGTCCGTCCATGTCTGAGGCCTCTGTATTTTACGTATTCTCATTTTTTCTGTGACTTTCTCCGGGCTTACGTAAATTCAATTTACAGTTTGATGAAAGCAAAGTTGCGGGTACTCGTGTGTTTGGATTAGGATATCCTTGGGCCTGCAGGTATGCAGTGACGTTCTTCGAATGGAGGAGGCCATCAGCGTGTGATTTGCACAATCTGCACACAACTTGAAATTAAATTCCGGACGAGATGGGACCGAGAGAGCCTGGCTCCAACTTTTTTTCCAAAAGGTCAAAATGTTAATGTATTTGAAATGAGCCAACAGCAGCCGCAAAAGGTGAAGGAGGTGGTGGTGAGGGAGGGTCTGGTCTCCGGTAGGAAAGTCTCGGAAGCTCTGATGCCAGAGATACAGCACAGAAACTTTCTCCGCACCGCCTGTCTGCCCGCCAGCCAGGAATGGAAGTGGCAAAACTTGTCCATGTTCATTCAACTTGACACGGCCGCCAGCGTGTAGACCTTCTTCCTCCACCCGAAACATGTAAAAAAGAGAAAGTCAATGAAAGAAAGTAAGGCTTGGCTACCTTTGGAAAGCAAAGCCTTGGATACCCTTGCAGATGGATTGATTCCTTGGCAGCTATCATAAAAATGTAATAACAATCAAATTCCTTGGTCTGTGGCTGCCATAACTTAAGTTCTCCGTCGTCTTGTGTATGTGTACAGTAACCAAAAAGCTTCAAGTGCCCTTAGTAGGGTATGGGTATGCCAATCTGTCTGCAAGTGTCTGCGGAGCCTCTTACAAGTGGCCGAAGGACGCAGTTGCGATGCCCAACGCCTAGCCAGGGGCATGGAATGTCTAATGTGATTTGCCACTCGCTTACATACTTATGCATGTACATACTACATCAGACTGGCAGCCGCCACGGCACAGTTTCGCTTGCTTTTTTCTTATGAGAGGGAGAACAAGAAGGCAGAGCTTTTGGCCCTCCCTAAAAACCAAACTAAAACTTCATGAAGGTTCCAGGTTTCAACTTTCAGCTTCAAGGACAACATTCTCTTCGGGGGATATCTTGGATTGATGTAAAATATGTTAAACACACTGCGAAAATCTGTGTCAAAAACTTTAGTTCCACGTTTTCACTTTATTCAAGAGAGAATCCACTCTGGTTGGAGACACATATCAGTATCCGCATATGGTTATTAGCCCTGATTGGGATCCAAAATGCACAGCATGGTCACGGGATCTGTCACACAATCTGCAAGTTTGTTCATTTATTATAATTATTATACGACGTAGACGTAGATTACACACCCCCAGCCACAGCCACAGCCCAGACAGCCAGCATCAGTGTCAGAGCAGACAGTATAGAAATGTCCATGTTGTGCAAGCTTTGAATTATATTTGTTTCTTCGTTGAGATTCCACAATAAGTGAACAAGTTCTTATCAGTAGAATAATCAAAGTATTTCCAGTTGCCTCAGAAAAATTAAACTGAAAGCTCGAACTTAACGCTCGACTTAGCAGAGAGATTGGAATCGAACTGAAATCGAGCGCAACGTACATACAGACTATATGCAATATTTACATAGCTGATAATCTAGATCTCCCATGTGACTTTTTTTGTTGTGAATTTTCAATTTAATTCTCGCGCCGATAACATGCAGTGATAGGCAACACTTTTTCTAATGTCCCTCGAGGAGTTTCTCTCTTTTCTGTAGGGAATTTTCCATAGTGATTATTAAAGTTTGAGACCAGCTTTGAAAATTATATTTTAATATTTATTTATGGAAATAGTGCATACAAATTCTCATACTATATACTATACCTATTGTCTACAAATTGTCAAATACGTGGTAATCCATGCCACTAACCAAATAGTATATACTATGCCCTATGTCCATGTCCACTGTTTTTGCTTGTTGACCTCTTCAATTTTAGATTTAATTTGTAAACATTCCAACAAAAGGAAGTCGTGAAAACTAGTGAATCTTGTTTAGAATTGATTGATAAATCGGATAAAATTATGGCTTTAGCGCGGTGGCTCTTAACTAGCTAGTAATATCAAATAGAACATCAACATCGATGAATGTGATTCAAGACCAAGGTATATTTTGGTATATTTTACCAATAGTTCCGCTGGAAACCCACGATAGTATCGATGCTATCGAACAATTTGAAACCTAAATAAAGAAAGTCAAAACTAAAGGAGTTATTGCTCACGAAAGAGCTCTTTCTTTGTGTTGTGGAGCTATGAATCGAAATACACTAAATTAATTAAGGTCAGGTTAACTCTGCTGTTCCTACTTTCTGGGGCAGCCTTCTGTTGCCTTTGCACCTACACGTATACCTACACTTACACATCAATCCATTAAATGACATTTCACTACTATACAATTTTTTAAACTCTTACACACGACCACAATTTTTAACTAAGGATCATATCGTTTAAATTATAAGAACAATTCCAATGCAACACCTTGCATGCCCTCATCAGCAACCATCGATCATCAACAAATATCGACAGAAATACCCTTTTCAAGAAAATATCGACAGCTCCATCATCGAACTGAATAACCTGGTCAATGCGGATTCATCGTCGTGCGACCATCCCCAATTAGCTGCAGCAATTAAATACCAAAACAAAAATTAGTTAAAAACAATAAAATAAAAGAAAGAATCTACATTTGTGCAGTGGCACAATGGGTGAGAGCAACGCCACTCCATTTGACATGGACAGCTCCAGCTTCGATGCGGAAAAGTATCTGGAGAGGCTCCTAAAGGTGAGCAATCTGGTGGGCGAACAGGTTCGACTTTAACTACAATAACTTAAACTTTATCTCTTTAGGACTGTTCACTGAGACAAATCATGGACACGGAGGCGGCTGTGGTGAAGGACACCCAGACACTGCACTCGGACATGCAGACGCTGGTGTATGAGAACTACAACAAGTTCATCTCAGCCACGGACACGATACGAAAAATGAAGGATGACTTCAAGCAGATGGAGTCGGACGTGAACCTTCTGATGACAAAGATGCAGTCAATCACCACGTTCAGCGAGCAGATCACGGGCACGCTGCAGGGCACTCGCTCCCAGCTGTGTCGCCTCTCCGAGAAGCACTCGCTGCTGAAGCGTCTCCAGTTTCTCTCCACACTGCCAGCCAAGCTGAAGGGTCTGATCGAGGAGCAGAGCTACGCCCAAGCAGTGCAGGACTATCTGCACGCGCAGAAGGTGTTTGCCCAATACGGCAGACAGCCCTCCTTCGATGGCATTCAAAAGGACTGCGATGCCATTATGGCGGACCTAAAAGAGACGTTGCGCCAGGACTTTCAGCGTGCCGGCAACACGGCCCAGTCCCTGACGGAGATCGGGGAACTGCTCCTGCAGCTGGACGAGAAAACCTCCGACCTGGCCAGCGAGATGCTCACCTGTGCGGGCAAGCGTCTGCACGAACAGATAGTCATGCTGCAGGACCAAACGGAGCGCGATATGCTGGAATTCGTGGACATGGGCATCAATGGCTTCCTCAACGACCTGGCCCTGGTGGTCACCTCCTACTTTGACATGTTCGTAGCGAAGCACTACGAGAATGAGCGGTAAATAAATCCCTTAAACTCCTACTGCCCCGAACCTAATCATCTGTGATCAACCCCCCCCCACAGCGACGACTTCCAGGAAAATGCTCTGCTCGAGCTGAATATCTTCCTCAATCAAAACATTGACAAGTATTTGACGCTAGTTCAAGACCGCGTCGAGTCGGATATTGGCTATGGTGACACCCAGGTCATGCTGCGGGCCCTGGACCGACTGCATCGCCGTCTCCAGGCCATGCGCAACATCTGCCGAGGCTTGGAGGTGCAGCGCAACACGGTGGACATCATAATTGGTGCCGCCCACCAGCTGTGCGACGCCCACGCCAAAAACCTGAAGGACCATTTCGCCGATAGCCTGAGTGCGGTGCGCCTTTCTTTGGTATCGGCAAAGAGTGATGCGGCCACCGGTCTGAACCTGTCGGATCTCATCAGCAACCTGTACGTGGCCATGGTGGAGAAGATCAAGGGTGTGCTCCAGGAATTGCTTATCTTTCTGCGCACCGATTGGTCCTTCAACATCAAGGCCGGGCACAAGGGCGCCCTGTGTGTGGAGGGCATTCGGGAGAACCTTCTAATTGGCTTCCTGCGGCACATCTCCAAGGTGATGTGTGGCTTCGGCGATGCTTCCAGCTCCAGTCCACCGAATCTGCTGCTAGTGCTGTCCAAAACCTGCCTGGAACTGGAGCAGCAGGGTGTCCACATACTGGTAAGCATACCAAAAGCTATTTCCTGGATTCCTAACACCGTTCCCTGCTTTGCAGATTGCTCTGGTAGACGACCTCTACGAAATCGACTCGGAGAATAGTGCGACCCTCACACACGAAACTGAGATCTGTGCGGAGATGCGGGAGACGGCCCAGGCCCTCCTCGACGCCTACGTTCGCCTCCAAGGCGCAAACATCTCCCAGATGCTGCGCAAGAGCGTCGAGACGCGCGACTGGCTCAACTGCCTCGAGCCGCGTTCCGTGCGGGCGGTGATGAAGCGTGTGGTGGAGGAGCTGGGCAGCATCGAGACGGTGGTGGCCAGCCTGTACGAGGGAACGGGGAATCCCACAGGCTTTCGCACAACGGCCAGCAGCGACTCCAGCCGCAAGACCTACTTCAGCAACTTTACAGCCTCGAAGCCGCAGTATCGCTCCAATTGGTCCAACTACACGCCCTCGCAGTTGGAGTCCAGCTATGTGTCCAACATTCATCGCCTGTTCTCGGAGCGTGTGGACATCTTCACATCGGTGGAGTTCACCAAGGCTTCCATTGTGATGGGCATCATCAAGATTGGCCTTAAAGTGAGTGCTCCCATCGGGCTTTGTAGCTTTTAATCGATAAATCCCTTGCAGACACTGCTGGAGTGCGTGCGCCTGAGGACGTTCAGTAAGTACGGACTGCAGCAGATCCAAGTGGATGCCCACTACCTGCAGATGAACCTGTGGCGCTTTGTCAGCGATGAGAAGTGAGTACCGTCCCCATCAGCTACAGATCATCAATCTACTCTCTGTCTCTCTTTCTCTATCGACAGCCTGGTGAACTTTTTGCTGGATGAACTCCTCGGCTCGGCCGTTCAACGCTGCCTGGAATCGGTGCTGATGGAGCCAAATGCTGTGGAAATCATTTGCGAGCGCGGTTAGTACCAGTTGTGTTTCTCCAGGTTTATCGACAACATTCCATTTCAAATCTCCGTCTATTTTGTTACTCGCTGCTAGCCTAAGGATCTTACAAATAAATCTACTATACAGAATTCCAGCAGACAGACGAAGAGATCGGATCAGATCGATCTTTCACTCTGCCGCTTGCGGACTAAGGCACAGGGTGAACTCAATGCCCTCGCCCTTGAGATCCTCCTCGGTGGCGGTCAGCAGAATGTTGTGCGTTTCGCTCTCGCCCTGGTCCCCTTCCGCTGAGATTGTGATGATGTGAGTCCCAGGCCCAGCCCCAGTACCAGTCCCATCTTCGCTGGTGGCCATCCGGCTCTCGGTGCGTGCCTTGCGCGCCTCCTCGAACTCCTTGGGATGAGCCTTCTTGCGATGTGTGTGCTTGTTGGCATTCGAGTTGAATGTCTTGGGGCAGTGGGGACACTTGTAGAGGACCTCCCCCGTATGCATGGCCATGTGCTCCTTGAGGGTGATGGCCTTCTTGAACGCCTTGTTGCACACACTGCACTCGTGCTTGCGATCCGCCAAATGCACATAACGCTGGTGGCTCAGCATGGCGCTCCGATTGGGTGACACCTTGCCACACACCTTGCACGTTCGCACCTCCTCCGAGGAGCCCTTGTGCCGACGCACATGCTTCTTCAGGCTATGCCTGTTCTTGTGCCACGATCCACAGATGTCACACTGAACCTTCGGCTCCGAAGCACCACCAGAGTGTTCCAGCTGATGCCGCTTAAACGCCGCTCGTCCGCGTATCACCTGAGCACAGATGTCGCACATTATGCCGTAGTTGCTGTGCACCATTTTCACGTGTGTACTGAGCAGAGAGTCATTGGGAAACCTGTAAAGATTTACCAATTAGATCAAGGACAGCCAAGTGCGCTGACAACTAACCGTCTGTCACAGATGCCACACGGTATGGTGCGCTCCTTGTGGATGATGCGATGCTGCTCCAGCAAATACTGCTTCGTGTAGCGCTTGGGACACTGCTCGCACATGAAGACCTTCACATCGTCCGGCTGGTGCTTCAGCAGCTCGTGATTCCGGAGGCACTGCTTGTCCGCAAAAGTCTTGTCGCACTCCGTGCACCTGCAAGTTAGTTTACATGTTATTGGGTATTCTCTTTTGGGTGAGAGAAATATCAGATTGGCTGGCCTCCACTTTACCACTCACTTGAACTTCTCGGGATCCAAGTGTCGGTCAATGTGGTCCGTGAGCGCGGAACGCTTGTAGAACTTCTTGT